TTTGTGTGTATGGTGTCTTGAAGCTATTTTATGTAGCAACTTTACTTAACTTATGCGGGTCTGTCTCTTCGTGTTGAGGTTGGTTGGTTTTGAATTTGGTTTTCATGGTATGGGCACTTAAAAGTGAAAATGGAAACAAAAGCAGTTTGAAGGAAATAGATCTTGTTTTAGTCTTTCTTTTTAGTATGAGATTTAGTATGTGCTTTTTGCATTGGTAAAATATAAAATTCCATTGATAGAGTGGTTTAGATCTGTTAAATGAAGGTGAGATGGTTTGTGAATAGGGCTCAGTGAGGTGAGAGAAACTGTGTGAGAGGTTAGCTTTGTAGAAGTTGAAGGTAATGCATAAGTGGCTTAATCCAGCAACTGAAATACTACTGTGGAGAGAGAAATGAGTTTGGCAGCACCCCCACACCATCTGATGTATTAATACCAGAGTATTTGCACCTGTTAGCCTAAAGAGTTAAATACAAAGATATTCTTTACTTGTGGACACTCCTTCCTGAAATACTATGTAGAAGTATCCTCCCTTTCTCACAAGACTATGCTATAAATCACATAACGCTCCCCGTGTTTTAACTCCTTGCATCATAAATGAGACTTTCCCCAGTATTAATTTTTGTTTGAGCAAGGTGGTTTCATTAACATACAAAGGTCACTTTAAAAGAATTCTTCATTACTTCTTCATGCTTGTAATAGGGAAGATTTTTTACAAAGGTTACAAGTATAACATAGTTGCCAATGTTTCAAAATATTTTCCTGAGAGAACTTTTAAAGCGGCCCTGAGCTGTGCTGGGGCAGTTATTTCCACGTCCTGGAGAATTGTAGGTGACTTTAATTTGGATATCTCGGCTTGCAAAACTCTCAAGGGAATGGGAGTTCAGCTTAGCAGCCAGAACACATGGCGACCCTATCCAATGACAGTCAACCTCCTCTCCTCCAGTGCCCCCCTCTTTCCCCACACACACACTCTTGAGAGGAGCCAGGTGGTCCAGGCTTTTTTCTTGGGAGTTGGGGAGACTGGGGTTTTCCTCTGTGTGTTCCCCCTTTCCTACATTGTCTCTCCTCCCACTCCCCAAACTCACCATTTATTTGGTGTAAGAACTGACCTGTTACAAGAGAGAATCCTGAGCAGCCACAGTGCTGCTTCCCTGCAACCAACTTTTCTCTGGACTCTCAGGACTCTACCATAGCTACCCTTCATTAATGGCCTCTCCTGTGAAATGGGTTCAGTGTCAGTCCAGAGGTGTCCTCATCATAAAAAAAAAAAATCACCGTCGTAATCAGCACCGTTGTTGGCAGTCTTATCAGAAAGGCCAGGGATCAATTGAGAATGGAGACTGCATTATTCTGCTGCCTTCTGCTGAGGGGTCAGGCTAGGGTGACCAGATGTCCCGATTTTATAGGGACAGTCCCGATTTTTGGTTTTTTTCTTATATAGGCTCCTATTACCCCCCACCCCCGTCCCAATTTTTCACATATGCTGTCTGGTCACCCTAGGTCAGGCATATGGGCACCGGTCTGTGGAGAAGCTTGCTCTGATGATGCTCTGGCTATGTCTTATCAGTGGATAAAGAAAGGACTTCCCATTCATGGGCTGTCAACCTAGCAACATCAAAATGTACTGGGAGTGAAATCCTGGCTCTGTTGAAGTTAATGGCAAAAGTCCCCCAGACTTCAATAGGACCGGGATTTCTCTCCTTATTTTTAGAATTATAAATAAGCATTTATGGCCAATTGGGAGGCCCATATGTTCTCACCAATTTTAAAGGAATGTGAAACAGCTATTCAGGTACCCCTTTTAAAGCTGGCATGAGAAGCAGTGAGATGCATGGTTTCTTGTGTATCAGCCCATTCCAGGAACTTTTCATCTAGGGCCCAATTCTGTCACCCTATCGCATGTTGGAGAAAGGACCTTTACTGTGGAAGTAGTGTCACTGAACTCGCACAGGGGACAGCATGGTTCAGTGAACTGTGAGTTAGGAAACCTGGGGGTTCTGTTCTCCACTTTGCTACCAACTTGTGTTACACTGGGTCACTGCCTCCTAATTTGTAAACCCGAGGTAATGATATTCACCTTCCTTTGTAAAGCACTCTGAGATCTAGGGATGACGACACAATATAAAAGCTGGGTATTATTACTCCGTAGGTAAGGTATTTCTCAGTATGAGTACAGCTAGCTGGAGTAGGCCCACAGGTATGTAAATGCATCTCAACATTTCACAAAGTAGGGTGGTGCACTGGATTTTTCTTTTGTTAGTTTGGTATCTTACTCTCAAGACCTAGCTACTTTAATCTGTTATGGTAGTTTCCATGGGAGCTGTGAAAACAAAATCGGGGAAAAAAAGCAAGGCTAAATTGCTGCTGCCAGCCGTTGGCGTGTAGTGATGTAAAGCATGTAATCAAATCATTGCACTTTACATGGCTGTAGAATATTGAGCCACATTGTTTAAGACAACAATTTTTTTCCTATTTGCTCTTTATTTTTGTAACAAGATCGGTTGATTCCATGTTAGAGTTTCACTAGAAAGGTATGGAGTCTTGCTTTTGCCTATGGCTCGCCATCTAATAAATGCTAATAAATAACTTAAATGAATGCACTGTGTAAACTTGTAGATTGGGACTGCGAAATATCTGGTGAGCTTTCTTAGGCCAGCCAAGTTTGAATACCTTTACTAAAGTTGTTTGAGGGTTGGAGCCGTTTCGGCTCCCAACAACTGTCAAGCAAGTTTCCTGCCTTGACTCTTAACACAGACATGATCATGCTAGATCAGACCAGTGGTCCATCTAGTCCAGTATCCTGGCTCTGATTGGCTGGTACCAGATACTTCAGAAGAAAGTTCAAAGAAAACCCTGATATGGGGAGTTGTGGAATAACTTGCCCACAGGACAAATTTCTTCCCAGTCCCCATTAGTTAAAGGTTGACTTATGCCCTGAAGCATGATTTCATATCCCTTCCATAAATTTAGTTTTTTAATATTGTAACTCTGAATATCCTTGTTATCCATATAAACATCCAGTCCTCTTTCAATCTTGCTAAGCTGTTGGCCTCAGTGTTGTCTTGGGGCAATGAGTTCCCCAGGCTAGTTGTTCATTCTGTGACCTCCATACGCCTCTGGTGCAATAAAATATTTTTTTCAAATTGGAGGCACAGCTAGGAATATAGCAAAAATATTTTTTAAATCATATTAGCTGGTCATGTTGTACGTTACACCACCATGAGCTAACATGGTTTTAAGTATTAAACTGCATCTACACTAGGTGCTAAGTGGTGTTTCAAATGATGTTAACTCTTTTTTTTAAAAGCGCCTTTTTTTCTTGTCAGTTCCTCATCTAGACAGACAGAGTTTAGCATGGCTGTCAGTCTCTCTTCAGGTAAAGACTTGGAATTGAGAAAATAGGGTTGTTGCAGACTTTGTGGCTAGCTGGAGAAACCTCAGCAGCAGTTGCCTGTGTTCTGTCTATTGCTATGAGTTTCACTTTCATTAGCCCTAAGATTAACTATTGAAACATTGAAATCAAGCACATTCCTCCCCTCCCCGCTCTCCCCCGCCACATAAATTGTCCTGCCTCTTCAGAGGAGTGGAGGGCGGCAAAGGAAGATGAATGACATTTCATAATAAGGACATCATGTCTTTGAATCTCATTTTGTGTTTTGGAGAGTTCAAGTTGAAAGCCCTTTCAAAGTTATCTCAGAATGGGTAACATAGATTCTCCTCATTTTCAAGATGCTTGGCAAAATTTTCTTTCATCATGTGCAATACCTCTAATAGTGCTACACGGTACTAGTTAGCAGCGGGAAGCAGTTTCCTGGAGGTGTAACAAGCAGTCGCATACCAAGAGCAGTGAGTCAGTGACAAATTCATGAATCACAATCAAGGTCTTTGTGAAATACATGTCACTAGAAACTCTTTATAACTGTACCTCCTTGGTTCATGAAGTTTATATCCTCTTAATGACTGCATGGGCATAAACATTAATGTTAGATTTTTGTGTTTGGTTTGCGCACCTTACAACTCTTAGGCCATGTCTTCACTGAGGGGAAAAAAGGGTGTGTTTTGCATCAAGAAAACAATCTCTATGTATATCCTGGTGAAGGCACAGGTAATTTTTACCTGGATGTAGCTAGTGAGGTCAACTCTATACCCCGACCTAGAGTTTTCCTTGACTAGCTATATCAAACTAAAAATTCTAAAGTCCCTGGTCTCCACTAGGATTTTGCATTGAGTTGTCTAACTCGATGCAAAACTGTGTCTTTCTTGCAGTGAAGATATAGTTTCCTTATTTGTGAAGTAGTACTATGTATGCTCTACAGATTTCATCCTTGTACCTCATTTTCAAATAACGGTTATGATCTTTATCTAGAGTCAATAGTGCCAAAAGAATTGTTACCAAAATAAGTTAAAAATAACATTAGGTGAAAAGATATGAATTTAAGTGATTCCTAATTACTTGATTTTTTTTCTGGATTTTTTGAAGGGAAAATTCAAATTCTTGATTAAAAATATCCACAGTTTTGCAGTGTATTTCTTTGTTCAATATTTAGGGCCAGATTTTCAACAGTATTTAAGTGACTAAAGATTCAGGTAGGTACCTAGAGGAATATTCAGCCCCTAACTTCCTACTTGAAATCGATGGAAGTTGCATGCCTGACCTGCTTATGTGCTTTTGAAAGTCCCACTAGGCACCTATCTGTATTTTTAGGAGCCTAAATACCTTAGCAAATCTGGTCATTAGTGTCCAACCAACAGCCACTGATGTCAATGGGCACTACACTGTGGTGGCAAACCATTAGACCATGCTTCTTCGACAAATATCAATTCCTAGGAAAGTTTATTATCCAAATCAAAAAGCTAAATTACTGGTAAATGTTCACATTAAAATTAGACCAGAACCACAGAGAGGTTAAAAACTGAAATAGACAAATGAGGGTCCTAGGTAGCATGCCAACAAGGTGCAATTAGGCTGTTTTGAGTAACTATAGCTACCTCTCTCCTAGGTTTTTGCTGAGCCTTCCATCAGTCTGTTTGCACTGGAACGTTGCGAGGGCAGAGAGTTGCACTTCAAAGAAGCTGTCAATTCTGTTCTAAACAAGGACCTTCACTTTTACACCGAGTCCGTATGGGTGAGAAGCGGATTGTAAGTATGGTAGAAATATTTCAGAGACTGCATTTGTGTTCTCCTTCCAGTTGCCTTCCTATATGATGAATTTGCTATATTTGTTTTGGGTCTGTGTGACAAGTAAAACCGGAGTATCCCAAAATTTGGGGGAAATCAACATAGGAACTTGTTTGTACCTGGACCTGAACAGAATACAAATGTGATCCAGTCAGTAAATCAAACCTCCTGCTACAAGAATCTGCCTTTTTGTCTGCTTAAAAGAACAAACAGTGAACAATAAGGTGTTGAGCAGGACAAACCCAGGAGCAAAAAGTAAACCATTTTTAGACTTCCATGAGAAGCATCTTGCATCCGTGAAGTGACCCTTTCTCCACTGCTCCCGCTTCTCCTCACCCTCAGAAAACTCCAGATACCCTCTATCCTGGCTATGCTTTGCGGCCTGGATTCAAAAGCCCCCACCCACCTCCTTTTTGCACGGAGTCCCGTATAGCCACCAAGTTGTGCTGGAGATTGCTGACTACGATTCTTAGCAGCCATTGAGTGTGCAACAGATATCTTCCTTTTTTATTTTTTAAGTTAATCTTCAGCTCATCTTTCTGTTTACTCTCCATATTCATATGACCAGGTTGGCCTCCGAGCTGCCTTTGTACAGTTTAACGTCACCATTACAGACCCCTAAAGCGAATTCCAAAAAATGAATTTAGACCTCTATTTTTCCTGCACTATCATGTGTAATGTACATTGATATGCTTTTATGCAGTATTTTAAAAATAACACTTCTGTACCTGTCCTGAGCCCATACATTCAATCACCAGAGAGAATTGTAACTTTTACAGAGTAACAGTATATGTGGGACCCCTGTGATACCAGTGCTGAGCTTCCTTCTTCTTTCTAGTCTGTGTTTGTACAAGACGTAGTACAAGGGGACCTGATCCCTCACTAGGCAGCACAGTTATACGATTAATAAATAATGATAGAAATGTCTGGTGTTGTAAGGCTGTTCCCACCCTTCTATTCGGCTCTGTTGTGTGAAGCAGACTTAGCAGTAGGTGTGAGCGGTCAGTGCTAAGTATAGTGGCTTTGTATAAAGTTGCTGCCCACTTCAAACAAATGACATTAAAGTGGTTTTTACAGGAAAATTAAGGTAAAGGTAAGGATGAGTGAAATCCTCACCCTCTGTGACCCACCTGTGATCCAGCCATGCCCACATCCTTGATCCTCTGAGTTCTCTTTGAGGGTTATCTTCATATGGCCTGAAGCACTTCCAGTACCATGACAGGGTTGGGAGTGGCATTGGGTTGGCCTCATGGAAATGCACAGTCTTATTTTTCACATAACCAGTTTTTGCAAAGGTGGTTAATGATTGAACTTCCTTTCTGGGCGATTTAAGTGGGTATTACCAGTGGCTGTAGACCCATGGGTGTGTGTACACTGCCTCAGACAGCTTTGCCGGTGTGCTTTCCTTCTGGTTTCAACATCACTGCCATTCCAATCCTGAGCCCTTACTAAATAGAGATTGTTTGCTCTTGTTGCGAGGTAGTTTAGAGGCCAGTGACAAACAGCAGCAAGATTTGAGGTTGAGAATAGCAAATTAATTTTCCTTGTGACCTAATCCAGTTTTAGCCTGAGACCTTTGGAGAGGAAAGGCTAGTGTTGTGTGCATTTGCCACCTAGCTGCTAACGTTTCATTATAAATGTGAACATGCATATTCCTACCTCCTTGGCGTTAGCACGGTTTGCCATGGACCAGCATAGAGGAGTGTCCTTTCCTTTAAGGATCTGCTCGGGGGGATGTTTGTGGGCTTTCTCTGCCTCACATGGGGATGTGGGTGGGGGATATTAAATCCTCCACCTTGACAGGATTGGCTGGGATGGGAGGCCAAGGCCCATACAAGGGAGAAACGGGGTGGGGGAGTAAGGAGCACTAACCTTCCCTCTCACTGCTTACTATCGCTGGCCATGTTAACAGGCTCTCTACATCTGGGAAGAGTCAGCGCAGGTATGGAAAAGTCCTGAGGGAGTCTCCCCCAGGGCTAGTTCAGGGTTGGAAAGAAATTCCCCTCCCCTCTCCCCATAACAGTTTTGGCTGAGCTGCTGGTGGTTTTTCACCTGTTTCTGAGCATCTTGAAATATCTCTGGGTCAGGGTTGAGGGAATAGGTGTTGGACAATTGTAGGCCTTTCATTGGGATTCCTTCTGGGTGGTCCAGGAAGGGCTTGTTTGTCTCAACTGAGAGTCCATGCAGCAAGATTTAGCGTTCCCTTGTCCTATTGTCCCAAAATGTAAGGTCAGCTTTGGCAAATAAAGAGGCTAAAGACAACTGCAAGTTTGTGTATATGGGGTGGGATCTTACTGTCATGCACAGGCCAAAGGCACCAAGGGAAGTAGGCTAGGTAGGGATTGCAGCTTGGAGGGGGCCATATCCCCGAGTGGCTGGGCATGGACATGCCTATAGACCTTAAAGGCTTTGGGTGGAAGGACTGAGGGCTGCTGGGTATCAGTTGTGGTTATCTTTTGAGTTAAGTTTTACTGTGATTTAAAAGTTCAGTAAAACTGCAGCAGAGGTCTTTAAACCATAAAATCAATAAGAGCTTTATTGGCCACAGCCCCACAGTTGACATTGACATTATCTTCATATTAAACTTTGATCAGCTATTAGAACTCTTTCAGGTGTGCCAGGTCAAAGAAGGTCAGCTTAGCTAGTTGTGCTAACAAAATGCTCAGGGTAGGTCTACACTACAAACTTGCATCGGCGCCACTGCAGCTGCACCGCTGTAGTGTTTCTGGTGAAGAAGCTCTCCTGTCAGCTTAATAACTCCAGCTCCACGAGAAGTGGTAGCTCTGTCGGTGGGAGAAGTTCTCCCGCTGACAAAGCACTGTCTAACCCATTACTTAGGTCAGTGTAACTATGTTGCTCGGGGGTGTGGATTATTCACCCCCACAAGCGACGTAGTTATACCAAAGTAATTCTGTAGTGTACATCAGGGGTCAGTCTAAATGACTCTTCCTAGGTTTATTTCCAAGAACAAGATGCAGATATGTCTCTGCAGCTGAGTGTGACAAATACGTAAGTCCATTGCAAGACAATGGGTTGAAAAAGCAGCTTAAGTCTGTGTTCTCTTAATCCTATTTGAATGCGCACCTTTGTTTGTGCATTCCTTTGGCTGAGGTCTGTGTCACCTGAGTGACGGGACTAATCGCACTGCACTGATTTCCTCATGAGCACAGAGTTGTAGCCTCTTATTCTCTATTGAATACCAAGGGTAAGCGCTGTGGTTTTATGGCTGCAATTCACATTCTCTTGTTTGTTGAATACGGGCGCAGTTCCACAGTTGTCTTTTTTATTATTACAAAAAAATCTTATTTCCCTCTCTCCTGTCTTTTATGCACTAGAACAACGCTTTGGTAATAGACACTGTATTTACCTTGAGACTATTGGGCACTGCTAAGACTGAAGTTCTTACCTCCGAGTGTGCAGCGATTTTGCCCGAAAGCATTTCAAAAAAATAATATTGTCAGCAATATGGTAAAATAAAAAGGAAGGAATTTATAACTGTTGTCGGTCTTATTGAATAGCTGTTAGTCAGGACTTACAGGACTCCTTTGAGGCTTATACACAAACATGCACTGCCTGTGAGTGAAGTGTGCATGATCAGAAGAACTTTCTCCAAAGTACGTACAGTGAGAGAGGCAAATGATGGATACTAGAACTCTCATCACAATTCAAGCACATAAAATAGGAAACATAGTAAAAATAGTGCATGCTTTATGCTCAGATGAGCTCATGAGAAGAGCATGGAGAATTCACAGTCCACAAAAGAACATCCCTTAGATACAAATCCAAGATCTGAATATCTCTGATGCTCAAAAATACAGCTTGCAGGCAACACTGTAATGTGTATAGACAAGATGATGTATAGTGGAGGAGCAATTTGTGTGTTGCTCTTGGTATATTTTGAAGATGGTATTCTAGTACAGGTATAAATGGTATCAGTGATGTGTTATGCTTCTACAGTTAATAATACTATGATTGAAAAGATGTTTTTACTATGTAAAATCCTGTTGTAGCAGTTTGTAACTTTCTGAAAGTTAGTTAGGTTTAAATTTCTCATGCCTGTTCTTGGTCCTGTAGTGCAGTTTGATATAACCTTGTTTGGCTCTTCTGTAGTTTGTTTCACATGTTGACATAGTTGTGTGAGATCCTGTTTTGCCCTCTGATAACTAAACTTTGTGGCAGTGTAGTGTGCTGCAAAGGCTTTCTCGGTGGTCCCTAGAGTGAGTTGTGTAGTTCGCTTGTGCAATGCAGCAATCCCATGCACATGCCCGTTAAACCTGTACACACCATCCATGTCTACAGAGGGATTTTTTTAATCTTCATGTGACCAGGTCAAAAGTTTAAAGTAGTTTCCAGCTTTCATATTAATATTAGGGAATACAAAATAGATCTTGATATAGGAGAAAGCTCTTAACCCACTTTAGGTACTCTACATATTTGGCACAGTAATATAAATACAGTATAATACTATCATGAAAAGCCTTTGGGTTTAAAAATATTGTATTAAATATTATTTATGTAGCTTTGTTTTGCCATATTTAGAGTATAGCATCTTAGGGTTTTGTTTTCTATCTTTATTCAGGTGGATTGCATACGAAGGAGGAAATTTCTCAGGAAAACAAATTCTGCTAGAACCCAGCAAGATTTCAAACTGGACTGAATTCAGTGGCTGGAGCATAATTGGCTCCCTTCGTCCTATGAAGCAGGTACTGTAAGAAAAAGTGTTTTGGGAATAAGCCCTTTTTCACTCCTTTAAAAAAATAATTTAATACATAAGTATCAGCTGAGAAATCCGACCAAATGCTGATCCGATTGAAGCTAATGAGAGTTCTGCCATTGATTTCAATGGAGCCAGTATTTTACCCCTGAAATTGGGTCCTGGTGTGGGCTACTAGGCCCTATCAAAAGTCACGGAGAGCCTTTCCATTGACTGCAGTGAGCTTTGGATCAGGCTTATAGAGAGGAATAGACTTGTTTAAAGACTTCAAGTTACAGAGAATCCACCAATTATTTTACTTTAAAACTGCAAGTGACCCAGGCTCTTTTCTACTGTGAGAATTTTTTAACTTAATAAAAACTGAGGGTTTATTAAAGCTTTTAACTCAAAGTCTCCTTTAGGTTCTGCATTGTTTTCAGTTTTCATTGTATAAAAACAATCCTGTATTGGACTATAAACAATCTAAATAGAAGTGATGGAACTATTTCCCCTGATGGATTTTATTGTATTTTTTTTTCCATTTAGTGAGGCATTCTGTGTCATTTTTCACAATAGATTCACTTTGGAAAATGTTCTAGTGAGCCAGGATGATAATCTGAGAACTGGATTAACAAAGGATTTTATTCACAGTTTTTTTTCAAGATTTAGAGAAGTGATTTAGGTGATCAGGATTTTATGTTCTGAAATAGAAGAATACCAGAGACCATTATGAATGTTATCTGGAATACTTTGGAACTGGTAACCCAACTAGTGATCCATTGTAGCTTCATGTTGGCTACAAACGAGCCTGATAATTGAGTCAAGACAATTATTGCTAATTTAAAAAAAAACAAGGGTCAGAATTGTCCGCATGTAACTGCAGAGCGGTATGGTGCTATCCAGGGCTGGGGTGGAGAGGGGTGTGTTCGGTGCAGAGGTGTCATCAATTCATTATTTAAATATTTTTCTGCTCCCATTAAGTCTCTTCTTCTTGGGAGGAGGATAGGTCCTCTGAGAATGCCTCCCATTTTCTACCCCACAATCCTTGCAGTGCTGATACCCATCTCTGGAAAAGGAGAGCTGGACTCTGCAGCCCGTGTAGCCTGTCAGTGCTGATCAGAGCATTGGTCAGAAGGGTTGCTTGAGAGCAGTGTGAGGCACTCCCATCCCCTAGGCCAGGGGTGGCCAAACTTACTGGTCCTCTTAGCCGCATATGACAATCTTCAGAAGTTCGAAAGCCAGGGCACACCTGCCGGGGCTTGGGGCTTCAGCCCCACTCTTGCTGAAGCCCCAAGACCCCCCTTCTCTGCTGGGCAGAAGCCTTTACCCCACCACCCCGCTGCAAGGCAGAGGTCCCAAGCTCATCCCCTGTGCCTGCCCCCCTCCACCCTCCCCCCCGGTCTGGTACGTGGAAATGGGTGTGTGTATGGGTGGCGGGGCTTCGTGAGCTGCACTTTAATGGTAAAAAAAACTG